GGGCTTAGCGGATCAGCTGATAAGCGGCTTAGTGGCTTAGCGGATCAGCTGTTAAGCGGCTTAGTGGCTTAGCGGATCAGCTGTTAAGCGGCTTAGCGGATCAGCTGATAAGCGGCTTAGCGGCTTGGGAAAAGGGGGGGGGAGAAAAAAAAACCCACAGGAACTCGCAAGACATTTTCGTCTTGCGAAGCAAGCCCATAGGAAATTCGTTTTGCGAAGCACCTCCAAAACGGAAAACCCTTTCGTCTAGCGGGTTTTCCGTCTTGCGAGGCATTCGTCTTGCGGGGCACCACTGTAAATAAGAGAACCAGTTTAAACCAGCTGTACTCAGCTTCTATTAAGGAATAACCCAAACATCATGAACCTTCTGCTTGTTTCTTTCACACAGAGAATCAAGTAGAATAGGAAAGATCTCTACACATCAGATCAATACTTTCTGCACTAAGAAATGCAAACTGACAGTTTTAGACCCCTGCTGAAAACTTTTCTGTTTCCCAAGTCTATCCAGACACAGGACTCAGTTGGCTTACCTTTGTCTGATTGATTTTTCTTTTTCTTTTTCACGATGAAGATAATGATCTTGCGTGCGCATTTTTATTTTTTTATTGCAAATTGCCTTATGGATTTTAGCCATACTTAATGTATTTCTAATTTTATCTGGGCCCTGCTTGGAGAATTTTCTTTTGATCAAGCCATTCACACGTGCTCTCTAAATAAATAAACAATAAAAATGGCTTTCTTCATCCACCCCTCCCACTGAATTTGATTTTTGATTTTTTTCATTTTGATTTTGGGTCGTTGGAGGGGAGAAGGGGCAGTTAAACATGACCACAGACTATGGATAGTTTAAAAGCAGCACAGGAGATGCAGGCAGCTGATCCTGATCTGATGCAATTGTGCAAACCATTTGGTGATTCTGCAGTGTTACCCCAAGAAAACATCTGAGTGCAGATGTAAGTGACTGAATCTACCAGTTTTAGCTTCTCTCAGTTTCTCATTTGCCCAGTCTTTAGTTCATTTCTCCATATAAGTCAGCATTTTTAAAAATTAAAAAATAAGTCCTCATGAAAATTCACAAGCACAGTGCAATTTTTACCTAATACACAAATGTTAGTATGCAATTTTGTCTCCGTGCACACATTTTTAGCTAGCAGCTACCCCAAACACAATGCACTTTTGTATATTATTCTCACTAACAGTCCCTCAAAGTGTGCCTATTTTCCAGGGATGTCCCTGATTTAAAGAAGCTGTCCAGGTTTTTGATTTGATCCCGGCATGTGCTGCTTTACATTAGGATGCCCCTGTTTTCATTGGAGAAATGTTGGAGGGTATGGAGAGTTATCTGACCCCTGAGCCATCTGAAGGCAACTTGCATAGGGATGTTTTTTTCATGCTTCATGTTTTATGTTTATATATATGTTGGAAACTGCCCAGTGTGGCTGGGGCAACCCAGTAAGATGTGTGGGGTATAAATAGTCAAATTATCATTTTGGAATGGGATGTCCCTATTTTCATCAGAGAAATGTTGGAGGGTATGCACTAATGTATGCATTATTACACATACTTTGCTCCCAATTTTTGCTTTTTTTGGTATACATTACTTGGCTGGAGAACTGCACTGTAAAATTTGCAAATTTTGAGGGATGGCTTTTGTTTCGGTTTCTGTATTCTTTCAGAAAGAGCGAGTTAAGTATGTTCGCCTTTAAATGTGAACTGAATCAAATTTTGTCCCTGTACTTGGGTGCGGATGTGGATGGGATTTTCTGGGATGGGGGGATGTGAAGTTCCAAAAACTGTCAAATTAAACAACCACAGTTTGGGGGGGGGGGAGGATATGGGATATATATATATATATATATATATATATATATATATATATATCACATATATACTGGTTGTTTACATACTTTCGGGCATTGCCAATATTTTACGTGCTCTCCTTATTTATGTATTTATGTATTTTGCTTTGATGGGGGATTATTTCTTTTTTTTTTCCTTACTGCAAACTCCGTGTGATTGATGCCATGAGCCTGCTTACTTTCAGATAGGGATGGTGAAGACGCAGGCCCAAGTTGGGCGGCTATTTAAAATGGGTAATACGGAATGGTGTTAAGCTTTAATATTTCATACAGACATTTAGGCTTACAAGTAATTTATTTTGTGAAGTGCAGATTTCTGCTTGGACAGAGATGATTTTGACTGACTGGGTGGCGGGTTTCCTTTCCCAGGCTCTGCATATTAATATCATTTGGACACTGCCGTTTCAGAACACCTTATCTTCTGCTGGACCTCAGTAGTGGAAGTCATTTTTATCAAGAGACTGGGCTTCCAAAAGAAACAACCAGCTAAGATATTGTGGGGGTGGGGAGAGCAAAAGATGCATACACACTGCTTAGAACAACTTTGTTAATTAAGAAATTAAGATGAAGCTGTCAGACTGAGTCAGACCTTTGGTCCCTCCCTAGTTCACCACCGTCTCTGTCTGGCAGGCAGCAGCAAACCAAGGCCCCAAAAGCAAGAGTCTCTCTCAGACCTTTTCAAACCTGGAATTTTAATATGAAACAGAAGTTAAAAACACAGGCCACAGAAGGGGAGAACACACATAGCAAGACAACAAGACCACTCATCATGGGGGAAAGGGAACTAGCTGATTCCAGTCTTTCTTTGTGTATTGTGGGTAAGCTTGAGGGGCAGTTAGAATAAAATGGCCTTAGAAGAAGCTTGGTAGCTATTGAGAACCAAGGGTTGCAGACCCTCCAACTGTCCCTATTTTCCAGGGACAGTCACAGATTTACAGAAGCCATTCTGGTTTCTGATTTGATCCCAGAATGTCCCTCTTTTCCTCAGGACATCCCTATTTTCATCGGATAAATGTTGGAGGGTATGGAGTTATGCGACCCCCAAGTGAAGGAGATAAGTATCTACACCAGGCATCCCCAACCTGTGGCCCTCCAGATGTTTTGGCGTACAATTCCCATAATCCCTAGCTAACAGGACCAGTGTTCAGAGATGATGGGAATTGTAATCCAAAACATCTGGAGGCCTGAAGGTTGTGGGTGCCTGATCTACGCAACCTTTAGAAGACATCTGAAGGCAGACCTGTATAGGGGCTTTTTAAATGTTTAATGTTTAATTATGTTTTTTCTATATGTTGGAAGCCACCCAGAGTGGTTGGGGCAACCCAGTCAGATGGGTGGAGTTTAATAATAATAATAATAATAATAATAATAGGATGCCCATCAGAGAAATGTTGGAGGGTATGGGGCTGAATCTCTTAGCCATTTTGCTACACATTTTGCATTAGCACCATGTTATACATTCTTACTCAGAAGTAAACTATGTTTAGTGGGGCTTACTCCCAAAATGAGAAAGTTGGATCCAAACAAAAAAATAAAGATTCCGGAAGCTGTCAGAAGGAAGGAGGTAAGGAAGGGAGGGAGGGATGATTTTGTAGGGATCTATGCCTCTGGACTTGATTGGAATGTGGGCTTCCATCTAGAGAGTAAATGGAAATCATAAAGCCAGCTCCCCATAGAGCACGTTATTGGGGATCCTGTCATCTTCCATTCTGCAGACTTGACTGTATATATGGTGCAGTCATGAGGGTCCTTTGGTTTCAGGGACTGTGTCATCAAAGTGTATAACTGCATCATCAATATTAAGATCTGAGTGATATTGCTGCCTATGTGTGTATGTGCGTGTACAGTAGGTATTTCTTTTGCTTGCCCATAAAAACCACGTCCTGGCATTTTGAATTAGTGCAAACTGGTGCTGATGCACTGAGGCTGGGCGTCCTCAGTCGAGATTCAAAACGCTAGCCCAATCAGCAAAGAAACAATAAGACATGACAAGGAGTGTGAGACTCCGACATAACAATGAACCTCGAGGGACAGCTGAGTAGGAGGAGGGGTGAAATTATCTGCTTTCGATAGTCGAAGGTGAGATTTATTTATTTTTATCTCAGACGATAATGTAATAAGATATGATAATAAATAGGCACAGGACTAAGGCAAATCATGTCTGATTTTAGATATAGGGGAGGAAACCACCCTCAACATGTAGTTGCTATGTGTTGTTGAAATGTGCTGTGGTTTCGAATATTATAAGGTACATTTAATAATGAACAAATACAAATGTCTCCTTCCCTAACCATAATGCCATTATGTTCACAATAGGTTAAATAACACTGGGCAACAATTTTTTACTTTTTGAATGTTGTCTAGATTTCTACAACTGATTTAGGGTATTTTTGCAGTGCTGAATCAGGAAATGGCATCTGTTTCTCTCCATCAGGTCAGGTTTACTGTAAACTGAATGGTGGGCATTGATAAAGGTAAGTACATGTAAATTGCATGTTGCTTCACCATTTTTCAAACTTCAGGGCTTGAACTTCCGTTTCTTGGAACTCCAGGAATGCTCAGCGGCAGGGAGGTCTCTCTTCAGAGTCCAACAGTAGTCAGCCATCATGACTGCGTCCCAGCGACCCTGATACCTGGTCTCCATCTCTTTCATGTCCTGATGGAATCTCTCCCCCTGCTCGTCACTCATTGAACCCAGGTTCTCAGGAAACCGCTCCATATGTGAAAATAGGTAGTGCATCTTGACGCACATGTTGCAGCCCAGGTTTCTGAAAGCAGTCAGCATGTTGTTGACAAGTTCTGCGTAGTTTCTGGCCTTATTGTTGCCAAGAAAGTTCTTCACTACCAGAACAAATGCCTTCCACACTTCCAGTTCCACTTCATTCATTGAGTTTCCGAACTCTGGATCTCTGATGAGCTGACGGATCTGAGGACCGTCAAAGATGCCAGCTTTCAACTTCTCCATGGTCAATCCTGGAAAAGCCTGGCACAAGTAAGTGAAGCAGTCACCATCCTTGTCCAGAGCCTTGGTGAACTACTTGATTAAGCCGAGCTTGATGTGCAGCGGTGGGAAGAGTATTCTGTCTCTGTCCACCAGAGGGTCGTTGATGACGTTCCTTTTTCTGCAAGGCACCAATTCCTCCAGCACAGACCAGTCCTTCTTCGTGTAATGCTGAGCACAGTCCCTACTATCCCACATGCACAGAAAACATGGGTACTTGGTGAAACCAGACTGTTGTCCCAACAAAAAGTTCACCATCTTCAGGTCAACACAAATAAACCACTTATGCTGATCATAACCAATTTTCTCCAGCACATACTTCACCGCTTCATGGTTCTCCTTCAGTGTACTCGAGTGAGCCAGGGGTATAGAGGCAAACTGGTTGCCGTTGTGTAGCAGAACACATTTCAGTTATCACTTGCTGCTGTCAATGAACAGTCTCCAATCTTTGGGTTCGTACTGTGGCACTCCAAGCTTGAGCAGAAGCTGCGCAATATCTGCACAGTACACCAAGACCTTCTCTTCTCAGAAAAAACGGAGGTACTCTTGATGCCTGTTGCGGAAGAAGCTGATGCGAGCACTGTCAGAGAGGACGTTTTTTTTCCCTTCAATCTGGATGCCAACAGTTCAGCAGAGTCCTTTGACAAGCTGAGGTCGCGAACTAGATCATTCAACTCCTTTTGGGAAAATGGATGTGGAGCATCATCTTCAAGAACCACTTCTTCTTCTTCATGTCCTTCAACACTGGAGGCATCTTCGTCACTAATGTCAGGAAGTTCTCCGAAGATAGGCACTGGAATTTCATCATAATGAGCTACAGGACGACGTGCTGATTGAAGATCAGTATACTTGAGGCTGCTCCGGTTCTTTCTGTTGATCCCAGTCACATCAACAGCGCAGAACTAGCAGTCAGTGACATGGTTTGTTGGCTCCCTCCAAACCATGGGAATTCCAAAGTTCAGACTCCTCTTGCCATTGGTCCACCCACGTAGAGTCTCGGTGCATGCCTTGCACACCATGTGTGGTGCCCAAGCTTTACACTTCGTGGGGCGGCTGCCCCATTAACTTAGTTTTGATCCCCCAACTTTATGCTTTGCCGCACCAATTTAAGGAAGATTTCGAGGTTTTATGACTTCAAACTGATCCCTTTTCGACATAATCACCCAGAACTATCGGACCTGAATACTTCTTGTCATTAAAATAATCATTTCCAATCAAAACAATTATTCGACATGGCATTTTACCCCCACCAACTTCTTCTAAAATGCTCCACACAAGCGTACATGTGAACAAAAACGTAAAAAAACAACATGTGGTCATACCTCAAAAACTTAGCCTGATTGAGCAAAACCAATGTGATTTTTGGATTCAGCGCATCAGATTCGTCCTAAATCAGCTGAAAAAACGCAGACAACAAATTTGTTGTTGACCAGTGTAATCTGTGGCCCTCCAGATATTCCTGGACTACAGGTCCCATCATCCCTGCCCATTGCCTGTGCTGGCTGGGACTGTTGGGCGTTGGAGGCCAACAGCATCTTCAGGGTAACATGCTCCCCATCTCTTCTGGAGAGGGTACTCAATGCCCTCAAGGCAGATCTAGGGGAGCGCGACTGGTTTGATCATACTGGGCACAGAGCTTCTGGGGCACCGAAGCTGACATCGTGACTATGACATCCAACAGAAGGCGGGGGAGGCAGATTTTGGCTTCACGCAGGGGGCCACCGAAATTTGAGACACCAAGGCCTGCCACTGCTCTAGGTGAAAGTCTGGCAAAAGAATGTGACTTTGGGCAGGATTTGTTTTTAAGGTAATATTTCCAGAACTCTCTTATTCTTTGAAGGAAATTCAGTTGCAACAGCCCCCAGGCACGATCCGGCACAGATCTAGGTGCTTTAAAATTTATTGGGCCTGATCTAGACAAAGTTCAGCACTTTCAACACCCGTTAATTTCAGTGGGGTTATGGCACTTGGATCAGGTCCGCTAAATCAGGTTCGCTGTGCTGGATTGTGGACTCTCTGTGCTTAGATGAGAAAAGTGGAAAGCAGCAGCTCAAGCTGTTGCTTCACATTAGCAGTTTATTATGTTAAGACCGCCCAGTTTGTTCTGACCAAACGCCTTCCTCAAAGACAAAAAGTCTTCATGTATCTTACTCTAGCACACCAGTTGAAATAGTTTAAGACTACACTGAATAAGCCCTTTGCGGTTCGCCTTAAACAGAGGGTATGTTGTTTGCTGCATTAAACGCTTAGCATCTGAATTATTAATCCCCCCTCATCTGAACACTGCAAGGTAACCACCAAGCTTTGATTCCCCATAACACCAGAAGAGATAAGACTATAGTGGAGTTATCCTCAGTGATAAAATGAATGAAGGTGAATCCTTCTCATTCCTCCTTGGTAATTCCAGATCCTTCAGTACAGTAATCTATTCCTAATTAGAGTCAATTATAGATCTTTAAAGAATACTAAATACCACTTCTGGTTGTAATCTCTCTTACCATACAGAGCGGAGACCTTCTCTTTCATTAGCCTGATTAGGAAAGCCAAACAAACCATGATCCTTGTTTTCTTTAAAATGTATCATGGTTGTCTCTTAGGTCAATCAGGCAGGATAACAAGTTTATATCAACTTTGGCAAATGCAAGCCAATTAGCATCAAATGATATCTTCAGATGATATCTATGAAGCAAGAGGACAGAAGGATATAGAAACAAACACATGTTATATATGCCACACTATGATTACAGCATTTTCATTTAACTGCTGATATCCCACTGAGCCAAAGGACCAGTGTTACGCTTGTTAGACCCAGCTGAGTTAGCATGTGCCAAACCTAAAGAACACAGCCATTTACGTATATGCTTGAACTATATGCTTACGCACATGTTGAAGTAATATCAGTGCTTATCCTGCAACAGCTTGGGTTCTCATATCAAATAGGCTGACTCCTTTCCGCTTGTCAGGTGTTCAGTTCAAGGACACATGGCTTGGAGGACAGGCAGGCTCAAAGCTGGTAAGACTGGTGCTAAGGGAGACCTGTGTAGCTTTCCCTAGCAATGAGTTTACCATTCTGAAGAACTGCATCTCAGGTTATGGTCTGAAGGCACATGAGGTCACCATCTTGCTGAAGCTAAGCAGGCTCAGGACTGGTCAGTGCCTCGATGGGTTGACCACCTGAGAACCACATGCATGTCACCTGGGGTTCCATGATGGAGAAAGTGGGTTAGAAATATGAGAAAATAACCAAACAGACTCTATGGGCCAAAAAGCCTTTAGTGGTGGCATCTGACTGGCTGTCTAGTATTGCCTGCCTTCCCAGACCAGAAGGGCTCTTCTGTCATTAGAATTGCCTGCAGTTCCCTCTTGGCCAACAGCCTCAATAAGAAATTGTCTTATACAAAGTCAGAACATTGGTCCATCTTCCATAGCATTGTCTATTCTGACCAGCCATGGCTCTCCAGGGTTCCAAAGGAACATTCCCAGCCCTACCTGGAGAAGCCTGGGCTTGAACCTGGGGCCTTCTGCATGCAAAACAGATGTTCTACCACTGAACTATGGCCCTTCCACAGTGACACAAGTGAGCAGAGAACAGGTGCCTAATCTGTTGGGCTCCCAGTTTAAGCCACTTGGGGCAAGCACAGATAATAAAAAGACTACTTTTTCACCATACTATCCACATCCAAAGTTTGCACAAAGGCCATGTATAGAAGCAACTGTCACTTTCACACACACATACCTGTGGAAAATTACAGGGGTTTAAAGATAGTTTTATTTTTTACGGCTCTGATCTGCACCTACTGGTAGGATAAGCTCTACCCTCTCAGTTCAGGCATACTTTCTACCAACTGGCTAGAAGTCTCTGTTCCTGGCTCTTCCCTTAGATTAGACACTCCATCATGTCTCCAACTGCTTGGCCAGTCTTCAAAAGGAGCATGCTCTAGATCAGCCTTTCTCTACCTGTGATCCCCAGATGTTGCTGAACTACAACTCCCATCACCCCTAGCTAGCAAGGCCAGAGCTCAGGGATGATGGGATTGTAGTCCAACGACATCTGGGGACCCACAGGTTGAGAACCACTGCTCTAGATTGCTGAAATGTCAAAGAGCATGTGGGAGAGGACCTTTAAGCATCATTGGCTCAGTTCCCAGAGACGGCTCCCATCCCAAGTTGTTCCAGCCTGGTAAACTGTGCTTAGTTGATGCTGTGTTCCCTTATTTTGTACTCCCCCTTTCCAATCCGCATGGAACCTGCCAGTAAGGAGGGGGCTAGACTTGCAACCTTCCCACCACCTTCTGGCTGCCTTGGGTCCTCTGTAGATCAAGACGAAATGCAGACAGTGCATGGTAGAAATCTGTGCATGATCATCCCCATACAGGTGTGGCAATGAGCATTGTGTGCTGTGGTGGAGAATGGTAATGCTCCCATCCAACAGCAATAACTCCATGAATTCCAGTTTATCTGATGGGGAGGTGATTATACTGGCATTTGACAAACCATGTACTGGAGAAATTTCAACCACATTATCCCTTTACTGGGGACCTGGGCTCTGATCTTCCTGCAGTTGGTTCCTCAAGGACAGACCTGTCCTCTGGCCCAGTTCATTCTTCCATGGGTGAATCACCAGGACTTGGGAGTGCTGAAACAGCTTCCAGGTGTTGAAGGAAGAAAGGCAGCAGCAGGCTCCAAGGCATGCCCTTCTTTTGAATCCACACATCTATTTTTGGAGGCTATTTTTGGTTCAGGCACAACACTGCCTGTGCAAAATGTTAAAGACGGCACTTTCTTGCAAAAATGAGTGATGGTGGGGTGGGATCGCATTTCAGACTTCCTTTCAATATCTTAGGAAGCAATCCAAATAAATAGCAAATTTATATCAATTAATAAAGCAATCAAAACACAGGTGACTAATCTCGTCAAATTATACTTGTACCCGAGAGCTCTGAGAAGCTGAAATGGCCACAGTCTACTTTGCAGGATTGTTGCGACAGCAAAAAAGAACCGTAGAGCTCTTTGGACAGTCATCAGTTGGGAGACCGTGCTTAACGTACCTTAAATAACCGCACCAATAACAAACAAAATACCTAAACACATGCCTGTGTGAAGCTGCAGATATTTGCATACATATGGGGTGACATGTCACCTAGGTTTCATCTCATCTCCCCTGAAGTGGTATTTAAAGGCCCCAGCACTGTTGCCAGCTGAATAAATATCTGTGCAAGTGGAAGGGTTTCTACAGATGCCTCCCAGTCTTCAGGATGTATATAAGCCGAGCATGTTACAGTGTTATTGTACTTTGGGTGAAGGATGCCATATAAAATATTAACGCATTTCATTAAAACGGCTCTTATTGTCAATATGTAGCATGGCTGCCCTGTGATTTCTCACTTTAGCAGGTGCTTCATGCTGGAAGTGAGATCTTCACATTATTCCACCCCAAAGCAGCATTAAAATGCACTGCCTCACTTGACAGCTTAGGCCAAGCTACGCATGATGTTAACAACATGACTAGCAATTGTGCCAAGTGTTGGCATTGTGGTTGTTTTTTAAAGAACAAATTAAACAACGGGAAGAGTTATCGAGATTAAAGTGGGCGGGGAGGAAGGTTTAAGCTGGCCTCCCCCAACCAGGGCCCCTCCAGATGTGGTTGCAACACAATTCTCAGCAGTCCCAGACAGCAGTCCCGTTGGGTCAGGGATGATGGCAGCTGTGGTCCAACCACATCTGGAGGACACCAGGCTGGGAAAGACTGATTTAAGCCACCTTTCCCCAGTCACCATCTCCGTAGAATTTGTCCCATTCCAGTTTTTAGCCTAGCAGTGGTAGCCAACCAAATTTTTACTCAGAGTACACCCACTGAAATTAATCAGCATGGCTAAGTTAGGTCCATTAGTTCCAATAGGTCTCTTCTGAGTAAAATGTAGTTGACGCGGGTGGCGCTGTAGGTTAAACCACAGAGCCTAGGACTTGCCGATCAGAAGGTCGGCAGTTCGAATCCCCGTGATGGAGTGAGCTCCCATTGCTCGGTCCCTGCTCCTGCCAACCTAGCAGTTCAAAAGCACGTCAAAGTGCAAGTAGATAAATAGGTACCCTCCGGTGGGAAGGTAAACGGCGTTTCTGTGCGCTGCTCTGGTTCACCAGAAGCAGCTTGGTCATGCTGGCCACATGACCTGGAAGCTGTACACTGGCTCCCTCGGTCAATAAAGCAAGATGAGCACCGCAACCCCAGAGTCGGTCACGACTGGACCTAATGGTCAGGGGTCCCTTTACCTTTACCACTCTAATAGAGGCAGTGTGGAGTGTCAGACTAGAGCGTGACTAGGGCTCAAATCCTCACTTGGTGACCTTGGACCTCTCAGCCCAATCTACTTCACAAGATCATTGTGGATCCAGCCTCTCCTCCGAATCTTCTTGCTGTGACCTCTCCTCATTGTCCCACCACCAATCCCCTGCCTCTCAGCCTTCCTTCTCTGGAGTTTCCCTTGTGGGTTGCCCAGCTGCTGCCTCCCACCACTCCTCTCCTTTTCATTGGAGAAAAAGGTGGGATATTATTATTATTATTATTATTATTATTATTATTATTATTACTCCAAATTGGCCTGTAGCAACTTTGTTGTATATTGATGTAGAAATTAAATTAAAACAGGCTGTGATGATTCCTGCCCCCCCCCCAATTAAAATCAATATATAATACAAGTAAGTTGTCCCATTCACTGCAATGGGGCTTTAAGCTGAATTGGATCCAAGGACTGTTTTTAAAACACAAGCTTCACAATGGAAATAATTCTCTGCTATTTCCAGGTGGTGCAGGAGAATACCAGACCTAGTGCTATTAAGTGTTTATTTGCAAATAGCACAATCTTAGCGAAGAGTGTACACTTTGTTTCCCCACTTTATTGCTATTTCCACGGAGCTCGGTGTTTTTCTTCGCATCATTACGATTATTATTCTCAGTCTAAGCATTTGACACCTGCTGTTTCGAAACTAGATCAACAACATTTCAGAATATAGGCACCAGATAAGATGGGAAAGAGAAAGGCGGCTGAACGTAATAACTTGTTCATGTTTCAAAACACAGACACCCTATTCTCTGTATGGAAAAGAGTCAGAATCTGGAAGATGGCAATGTTAAGATAATATTAAAGCTGTGCAACCATTGTTTCAGCTGGTTAAGTTCCAGTGAGCATGGACCTCCCATATCACAAAGCTACCGCATTAAGTTGCTGCCAGCCTTCCTCCAACCCACCCCTGATATCTCTGTAGGAGTGTCCATTCATTAAATTCATCAAGTCTACAATCTGTTGTAAGGTATGCGGGTGGCGCTGTGGTCTAAACCACAGAGCCTAGGGCTTGCTGATCAGAAGGTCGGCAGTTCAAATCCCCGCAACGGGGTGAGCTCCTGTTGCTCGGTCCCTGCTCCTGCCCACCTTGCAGTTCAAAAGCACGTCAAAGTGCAAGTAGATAAATAGGTACCCTCCGGTGGGAAGGTCAACGGCGTTTCTGTGCGCTGCTCTGGTTCGCCAGAAGCGGCTTAGTCATGCTGGCCACATGACCCGGAAGCTGTACGCCAGCTCCCTCGGCCAATAAAGCGAGATGAGCACCGCAACCCCAGAGTCAGGGGTACCTTTACCTTTATCTTACAATCTGTTGTAGCTGGGTACACAAATAGTTGAGTTATTCAAACAGCAAGAGTACACCCTTTCACACACTTGCATATGGCCATTGAGAGCTTATGCCTGTGTTCAATGCAATGTGTGGGCAAGCCTCTCCCAGAAGAGGAGAAGCCCAAGCCCTGAAACCATCAGCTCCTGACCATCAATGACCTGAGAGAAGTTCTGGGATCCTCTCCTCCACTTGCACAAGAACCCTCTCCCCTCCTGTGGTTTCCAGAAACTGGTATTCATAAGCATTGCTGCCTCCAACTGTGGAAGTAAAGTATATCCATCATGGCTAGTAGCCATTGATAGCCATCTCCTCCATGATGTTGATCAAGCCTCCTTAAAGCCATCCAAGCTGGTGGCCATCGCTGCATGAAGAAGTAACCTCTTTAATCTGTCCTAAATCTTCCAACATTCTGCACTCTGGCTTCCATCATGGTTTTCCATTGTGCCAGAAGCGGTTTAGTCATGCTGGCCACATGACCCGGAAAGCTGTCTGTGGACAAACGCTGGCTCCCTCAGCCTAAAAACGAGATTAGTCGTCTTTGACTGGACTTAACCGTCCAGGGGTCCTTTACATTTTACTAATATTAATATTACTACTACTAATAATAATAATAATAATAAAGTTCAGAATGCCATTTCCCAGAGGAACCAGCCAGATACCTCTCAGAAGCACACAAAGCAGGACTTGTGTGCAACAGCCCTCTACACTGTTCCTCAGTGAATGATACTTGGAAGCTCCCTGGCTGGCTCTGATCTAGAGCAGGAGTAGGCAACCTAAGACCCAGGGGTCTGGATGCGGCCCAATCGCCTTCTAAATCCAGCCCGCGGACGGTCAGGGAATCAGCAGTTTTTACATGAGCAGAATGTGCCCTTTTATTTAAAATGCATCTCTGGGTTATTTGTGGGGCCTGCCTGGTGTTTTTACATGAGTAGAATGTGTGCTTTTATTTAAAATGCACCTCTGGGTTATTTGTGGGGCATAGGAATTCGTTCATTTCCCCCCCCCCAAAAAATATAGTCTGGCCCCCCACAAGGTCTGAGGGACGGTGGACCGGCCCACGGCCGAAAAAGGTTGCCGACCCCTGATCTAGAGGATAGCTGAACCGTCATAACTAGTGCCTTCTGAATTTAGCAAGGTACAGTGGTACCTTGGGTTAAGAACTTAATTCGTTCTGGAGGTCCGTTCTTAACCTGAAACTGTTCTTAACCTGAGGTACCACTTTAGCTAATGGGGCCTCCTGCTGCCGCCGTGCGATTTCTGTTCTCATCCTGAAGCAAAGTTCTTAACCTGAGGTACTATTTCTGGGTTAGCGGAGTCTGTAACCTGAAGCGTCTGTAACCCGAGGTACCACTGTACTGCACAGAAAGTAATTATTCTATTGTAGCAAATAGCACCTTGCTTGGTTGGGGTTTTTGTTGTTGTTGTTGGAACACAGCACTGGGGGAAGGATTTAAAAAACCCAACAGACATGCTGCGGTCCTTCTCCTGACGCCGCCCCTCCTGTGAATGCTATTTAACAGCATTAAATGTGAACATGCTTTTAACCAATTTAACGTATCATGTAGTTTGACCTAAGAGGCTGAAGTCTCCCAAGTGAATAATGGAATAACAAGTGACATCGAAAACGCTTCCTTGCTAAACAACTGCACATTATTAGATAATAAGGGCAAAAGCAATTTTACTTAAATGAAATTTAACTTGCATTCTTTATTTAGAGGGGACAACTCAAGCCATAGAATCCACTTAAATATATAGCGTGCCTTAAGTGGCTTTGTATTTAAAATCACATTGACTCTCTTTTCTTCCTTATTAGTACCTCTTAAAATCATCTGTTCTTATTTACAACTGGATGATGTAGTACTGGAAGTATAATACTCCGCAAAGCATTCTGAGATGCATATTTTATGACAGATGCTGCGTTATCTGCAGCACAGCCATAAAATGTATTGTTTTGATGATGACTTGTTAAGACACTATACCATTATTGTTCACAGCCTCCGCCCTCCAGTTCAGCAACTCATTTACAAACACGCTTAAATCCTATATTTGCAAACATCATGCATTCCTATCTGACTGTACGTACCAAAGAGGAAATAACTTCTAGGGTAGGGATTGAGCGTCAATATTCAGAGTTCTCAGGTTTAATTTAGAGATATGGTGCCCAGAATGAAAGAATAGGACTTTCAGCCATTTTGTGCAGGGGTTTTGTTTGTAAAAAGTGGACTATAAAATGGTTGACCTCTGCTTCAAAGGCTGTAGCACAGAAGGGTCAAAAGTTCGAGAAAAGATTGAAAATACAAGGAGATGCTTTGCCCAGGAATTTCTGCACAGGAGGATCAAAAGTTTAAAAAGGGATATTTTGCTCAGGTTGTATTGAACAGGATAGTCAAAAACTTATCCTAGGAACCTAGCAATTAAGGGGAAACAGAAACTAAAGCAGGGCTCTTCTCTTCTCCTGATTGGCTAAAAGGTTGAGAGACAACCTTGTAGCCGATCAGGAAATAATTGCCGCTGCCATTTGTTTCTTATCAATAAAAAAAACCCTCTGTGTGGCACAAGCAGATTTTTATTCTGAAAGTGTGGCCCAGAGAAAAAAGTTTGAGAACTACTGTTCTAAAGAAATAAATGGAACACCCTCCCTTCATATGTCAAAGACAAAAACAACTATCTGACATTTAGAAGACGTTGGAAGGCAGCCCAGTTTAGGGAAGTTTTTAATAACTGAAGTTTTAATGTATTTGTAACCTTCTGTTGAAAGCCACCTAGAGTGCCTGGGGAGACCCAGCCGGATGGGCGGGGTGGAAATAATAAATTATTATTATTATTATTATTATTATTATTATTATTATTACAGTGGTACCTCGGGTTCCAGATGCTTCAGGTTACAGACTCCGCTAACCCAGAAATAGTACCTCGGGTTAAGAACTTTGCTTCAGGATGAGAACAGAAATCGTGCGGCGGCAGCAAGATGCCCTATTAGCTAAAGTGGTACCTCAGGTTAAGAACAGTTTCAGGTTAAGAACGGACCTCCAGAACAAATTAAGTTCTTAACCTGAGGTACCACTGTAGTATTATTATTATTATTATTATTATTATTATTATTATGTTAGGTGCAGAGTAGGCTACAAGACTGAAAAGGAACAAAGGAAAATTATCATGTATTAAAGTAAGAAAGCAATGCAGTGTCAGAGCATTGACTTCTGAAAAAAGAAACATCTGAACATATTTTTAAACCAAAGTTACCTTAGTGAAAAATTGCAAGAAGAAAGGGAACTTTACTGTGATCTGAAAGACTGTGGGATTCAATGTCTTTTATGTGTATGCAGTCTTGCCATGATGTAACCTTCTACATGATCATGTTGAATAAAATGCAAATGCTTTCACATTTTTTGTGCATTCAAGCTATACAGTTTAGTAAAAGATCCCTAAAACAGGGAATGTTTGCTGTTTACGCACTTTAAAAAATGCCAGTCTCAGAAGCACAAAATTGGACACCTTTGGCTGTAGGTGATAACAGACCTCATATGTTTGTGTTTTTCACCAGATCACCACAGAAGTAAAATAAAAAAATAAAAATAAAAATGCAGGTCATAAGGAGGGGAGTATGATAAACCAACTTGAAATACTCAGTGGGAATTTAACCTGCTGCTACACTAATACTCAGCTTCTCTACAAGAGCAACCTTCAAGCTAGAATAAGATATTTCAGTCAACTTTGTTCCAGCAAAGATCACAGAAATAAACAGTTTTTCTAAGTGTCTAGAAGTCCTGACAGGATGCTGCCAATCTTTAAGGATATCTTCCAGATAAATAAGCTTGTGATGCTAAACCCTTATCTTTTTTTTCAGGCTGCCTGTGAATATGTGCATCGCTGTTTCAACTTTCTTAACATCGGGGGCCAGGATGGGGAGGAAGAGGATGCACAGAATGCAAATGTAAAATGCCAAGGCCCTATCCGATTGATTTTGGAGAGAGTGGAGGGTCCTCAGCACCTCGCAGGAGGCTCTCGGAACATCTAAAGATCAAGCTCTTATGTGGAGAAAGAAAATTTTGCTGTGATTGCTCTTGAAAGTAAGTGATATCACATTGGAAAGAATGCAAAGAGTCAGAATTCTGCTAGTCTTGGAGCCCGTGTGTGTGTGTGTGTGTGTGTGTGTGTGTGTGTGTTCTGGATAGAGATTTAGCAGACGATAAGATAGTTAAATGTTATTTGAGAGCGAGACATCCTTCCTCACAATGGGCAGTCATATTTCTTTGGTCCCTCTACTGCCTCTGTCCAAGCAGGTTTTTTGAAATAATGCAACACTTCTGCAAAACAGCTCAGCAAATGAAAAAGATGGATGAACATTCATACTTCCCCCTCCAAATGCTAGAAGGCATCTTGTAAACCATCTAGCCCGACTTGTAGGACAATGGCTCACTGGTAGAGCATCAACACTGCATGCACAAGGCTTCAAGTTCAAACCGCAGTATCTGAAGGTAGGGTTGGTCATGTCCCCTGTCTGACAGTCACTGTCAGTTGGTGCAGACAATACTGAACTATGGTCTGACCTGGTATCAAGCAGCTTTCTAATGTTCCTGTGCAACCCCTTTCTTGAAAACAGAAATCCAGAGCCAAAACACCCCAACAGATGGCAGCCCAGCCTCTGTTTGAAGACCTCCACTGTGGAAGTCCCCCTCCACTCTAGATAATTGGTTCTAATTGCTGAACGGCTTTGACTCTTAAGACGCTTCTTCTCATTAGGTTGCCCACTTCTGTGTCCTGGCTTCCACCCAACACAGAGAGACAAAGGCATTTACTTAAAAAGAAGATAAATATCTTTGTTCAGACAAGTAAGAATACAGGCTTGGCAGAAGATACAGTGCTCAAGAGTCACAATTCAAGAGTTCAGGAAGAGGGGCAACGAGTTCAGAGTCAGACGGTTGGTCTGTTAAATGGATGGTCTGTGAGCACTTAGAAAAGGATGCTGTGATTAATAAACAACTCATGCCGGACAAACTCATTTCTTTTTTTGATAGGTTTTTAAGGTGGATGGCCATTTGTCATTTATCCTTATGCTGAGATTACAGAGGACTAGATGATGCTTGGGGTCCTTCCAACTCTACAGTTCTACTATTCTATTCTTCCCTGCCCCTCCCACAAAGCTTTTAAAGACTAGGCACGTCTTACAAGACTCTCTCGCCTGGTGGGAATGTCAAGATTTGTCAGGTTGGTGGGTCTGCTCCCATATGAAAAGGTTCTAGGTGATCAGACTGCACCCTCCTGCTCAGTCTCCCTCTTTGACTGCTCAAAGCCCTCTCCAACTTCCACTAAGGCTTCTTCTTCATCATCATCACTTTTACTTTCTATACCGTCTTTCTATCTTACAATACCCAAGGCGGTTTACAAGCTGAAGAAACAAAGAATGTACACCTTATAACAATCTAATGCAATACAAAAATGTGATAATAAAACATAACTTAAGAATAAGCAACCTGCTTCAAATAAAGTAACATTCAACAATCATTGGAATAGTATAGAATAATAATATTAGCATATAAAAATGAAACAGAAATCCACTCTTAACAATTATAATAAATAATTTCTAAACTACAATCAATAAGACAAGGGCAAGCCGCAGAGCATAAAATAATAATGAAATAATACCTTCCCACTCCACAGGAAGGTTTATGGGGACAGCCCTTTTCTTCCAACCCAAATTCCCATAATTTCGCTCCTGGTCCCCTGATTTTTTCTTTCTCCTCCACCAGAGTCTGCCACTGCTAGCCCGAGCCCAATAGCTGTGGACTTCATGACAACCTGCATCACCAAAAAAGAAGAAACACATCATGAAAGGAGAGGAGAAAAGAGGAGACAGATTTGCATTGCAAATGTATATAAGTACCGATGTAAAATGAGAAATGATTGCTATAATGTAAATAGAAATAGAATAACTCTCACCATAGTGGTGAAGACTGTGCCTCTTCAGTCTGCTGACCTGTTGATGGGCACCTTGAAGGACTATGCTCTTCTTCGGGGTTATATTATTAATTATTTTTATTATTTAACGAGATGTTATTTTTATTAGTAATAATACTTTGCAAATGGTCCCAAGGCAGGCTGCAACATACCACAATTAAAAAGCAAGATGTGCCATCACTAAATCTATAAAGTAAAAATTACAGAAGCAACCAGTAACAAAATTAACAGCACAGCGGACTAAGCTATGGACTGCATATTTTGGGGATTTCCCCCTCATTTTATTATTGTCATTATTCCCCCAGAGCCTATATGATCAGGTGGGCTATAACACCCGATAGATTCATAAATTAATCCCCCAAAAAGCGATTGCCATTTTCAGGCATGCAAATCAGATGCACAAACAGATTTCTTTTTTCAAACACACCCTAGCAAATGTTCCCATCACCGTCTCTTTCAAAGTCATTGTCACTTTATTTCCATTCCGTCGCGTGAACTTTTCCAGTAAGCCTGGCACCTGTCCCTTTAATATAGCACACAGGGTTCTTTCCTCCATACTGTACATTATCCTCATTAACACATATCAGTCAAAAGCACTGTTAATTAAACTGGCAAGATGATTGCGCACGCCTCCATGTGCCCCCTCAAGGCATCCGTTTGCCAAGATATATATTTTCCCCTCCCTCGTCTACAGTGGGTGGAGAAGGCCTTAAGTAAACCAGATTTGCTATATATGACACAAATAATCTCAAAGTGCATTGTTTTCTTTGGGGGGAGGACAGGCGCAGAGAAGCCCTACACATCATTACCACTTGCCCCAAATAAATAAATGCAACATTGACACCAATCTGTAAAACTAACACATGCATATTTGATCTAGGCAAACAGTGCCTAGAAGATGACATTTCCTTTCATTCTTCCTTACAGATGCAACATTCAAATTAGAACACACCACCCTTTGACTGTGTACTAATGAGCGTGCCATAAATAATTGATTAAAGCTGGGCGAAACCCTCAAGTTTTGTACTTTTCAAAATTTTCATGGCACAGAAACGCAAATATTTCCCAAATTTCTCTCTCACAGAACACGTGCATGTTCCTCTCTCAGTCTGAAACTTGGGGCACCTCATTGACTTTCTCCTAACTTTTCAACCTTGCAGAGTCAGGATCTGTCATTCCATTTGGTGAACCGTCGATGGACACCAATGACTTGCTTATCTAAAGCACAACATTCCAGGCCATCTTTCGGTGCATCTTCTGCTGTGAATTATAGTGAGAATCTCTATAATAGAGTGGGAATCTCCAGTGTGATAGATCTCTTAGTTCAGCCTTTGAGGACTGATATCTAGGTTTGGGTTTCGCCATCTACCCCACCCCAACCCCACACCCCAAACTAAGAACCAGCCATCCTTTTCCCTATGATAGCTTTGCAAATGACCTACCCACAAGTTTCTTAATTTAATCCCGCAGAACTATTTCCAGGATTCTGAACAGGGTACCTTTATAGTGCAGTCTGTGCCAACTTCGCCCCTCCCAATGCTTTGGACTACAACTCCCTAACTACTGTTAGGACTGCAGCCATCCCCCGCCTACCCCAAACAAGTTCCTGTGGCCTTTGACCAATGGTTCAAAGAGAAAATCAATAGCCACAGTTTCTGCTACTGTGGCATCTTCATTTCAGGATTCCCGCTATTGCTGGATTTCTGCATATTGTGCAGCTGTTGGGGACAAGCTTGCTGACAGAAAAAGGTAGCTCCTCTACCTACCGGAGGAGAGAAACCTGGGATGTTTTCCATCATATTGGGTCACGGTTTCTAGAGTTATATGACTGGAGACAGATACAAGCAGCCTCAGGTCTCCCTCCTTGGCGTTTTTTCTCTTTCCACTCATCATTGCGGTTCCGTCTTCCATGTGTTCTTGAAAAAGGGGAGAGGACGACAGTTGGGCAAAGGGGGTTTATTGTAGCACACAGATTCATAAAAACACAAGGTCACGGGAAGCGGGTGTAGGACAAAAAGATGGGAATAGGGAAAGACTGGAGGGACGTTGGTTGCTGTGTTGCTAACAAATGAATAAATGTCTCCACACAGAGAGAGAAGGGAGCTAAGGAGGCATCAGGTGCACAAATTACTAAAAGGGGGGAGAAGGGGGCTGAGTTTCACATATTGATAAGAAATCACTTGCCATACCTTTGACTGCAGACCTCTAGTTAGTCACTGTTATTCTTGCATTGTTCAGAAACGTCAGGGACTGGTTGGATGCAGAAGAATGGTGGAAGGAAGCAGCTGGGAAACCATCAAAGGAAGAAGGCTCAGAGCCCAGGAAGTGGTGATGGGATGTCGATGAGTGGTCAGAGGGAGAAGACTGGGAAGAGGTAACAGAGCTTAGTGAGCTGGGAGAGTCTGTGGCAGAGAGGAGTCCAGAGACAGAAGCTGAAGCAGGAGAGGAGGAAGGCCAAGAAGCAGAGATGGCTTAGGCTTGTGAAGAGGCACGGGTGTCTCCTCCTCCTGCTGCAACAAGCTCCCCTCCTTCCAGATCTCCCAGAACCAAGAGAGACATGAAACGGGAGGAGCAAAGACAGGAACAATACAGGAACCATCTCTGATTCCTTGGAAAAGACCCTGAAGAGGAGGGAGGCAGGGACTTTTAGTCCTGGCAACTGCTTCATGGGGGCAAGAAGAAGAAGAAGAGAAGAAGAGTTTGGATTTGATATCCCGCTTTATCACTACCCGAAGGAGTCTCAAAGCAGCTAATAATCTCCTTTCCCTTCTTCCCCCACAACAAACACTCTGTGAGGTGAGTGGGGCTGAGAGAAGTGTGACTAGCCCATGGTCACCCAGCAGCTGCAAATGGAGGAGCGGAGACGCAAACCCGGTTCCCCAGATTACGAGTCTACCGCTCTTAACCACTACACCACACTGGGCAAGACCTGAGTTGTGCTCATGAGGCCTGACCCTCCGGTACAGAACCTGTTTTGCTAATAAAGAGTTAACTCCAGCTTGCCCAGTGTGATTTACTGCTGGCTTGCTCCTGTCAGAAAGTCATCTAGAAAAAACTCGG